GGGGGGGGGTGTCTAGAACATAAGAGAATAGCCCGGCGGATTGAGGAAATGCAATGCAGGGGCCGCCTTAACCCGCACCTCAGGAAGGGGCCTCGGCACAGGGAGGCCGTGGGGCCAGGCTTTGTGTTTTGTGAGTAGATCTATAACATCAGCACGGCACGACAGAGCCTCAGGTTGAAGACCCTCAGCGCATCTAATTGGGAGTCCGAGCCGAACGAAGAACGCTACGGATTCTCAGAGACACAAGGGGCAAGACCAGCTGATTGCCTGCTGGCAGAAAGGGCAATGGGTTCGGACGGGCGGTGAAGTGGCCTGGGAAGTTAGAGGTTCGCTTGTGGCCGCCACAGGCGAACTCTGCGCCTTGCCCACTCCGCATCGCGCCCGGGACAAAGGAACACCATTTGCTGCGCCCACTGGGGAGTGCCCATCCTGCTCCACGCCAGGGTTCTCTGCGGGGGTGGGCGACGCAGAGATCTGGAGAGAACCCTCTGTGGTTCTCGGCAGCCGCGTACTCGCGGTGCGGACCGCCCTCGCGTCTCCGAACCCCTTAGAAAAAGGCTCTTTTGGGGGGAAGGCAACGCGCTGAGTGCCCCCTTTGGGGACGCAGCAAGAAAGTCTGCCAGGAAGAGGAGGCCCTCCCACCTCCCTTGCTCCCGGTCCTGGGATGGAGATGGAACTGGAGGCGAGGCGGGCGCCCTCTGTCCTGGAACCGAGAGCCCTTCCAAGTGGGAGGGGGGGTGCGCCCTCCTATGTAGTCTGGAGCTCCTCCCGAACTGAGTCAGAGTCCAGGATATGGGCAGGGCGTGAAGGCGTCCCCCCCCCACCCCCCGCCCCGCCGTAGGCAGTAGGTCTGCGGGCAGAGGTTATGTCTGCTGTTGGGCCTGGGGAGGAGGGGAGATGGCTTGGGCCGGGAGAAAGCAGCAAACAATGAAGTCGGACAACAGGGAACCATTGCCCCTAGCCTGGGACCCTAGGTCTGTGGTCTCTGCAAGTTATGAAACAAACGTTATAGCAGTGCTAGCCTGGACCCTCCCTCCTCCCGGGCCTCTAGCGCAACGTGAGCACCTCCCCATCGTTTCATTTCTTTATTAAACGTTCTCTGTGCTTCTGAAGGGCGGATGACAAACTTCATACGGTTAAAAAAAAAAAGCGTGTTCCCCGAGTTGTTGGACGGCCAGGAAGCCACCTGTCTGGGAGGACAGATCCTGGTTCATGCTTTGCCAAAAGCAAAACTTAACAGTCACATCTCTTGCCTCTGCCCGCGTGCAGTTCCTCCTCCCCAGGGTCTGAATCACTGGAAAACGAACACTTGCCGAACTGGATCTTTGGCCATGGAATGGGTGGAGCTTTTGCCTAAGGGTGTTTGATGTTTATGCTTTGTTTTGTTTTACCCAGCACCACCGGTTTTCTGAAATCACTGAGAATCTGAGTCACAGCTGACAGCCTAAGATCTTCCGCTGCAAGAGAGCTTGGGGCTCACTGTCCCGAACCACCACTTCTGTCTGGGTGGCAACCGGCGCCGGAAGTTGGGAGGGGTCTCAGCCAGGCCAGCCGGTGTTTTAAGGAAGAGAATAAAGCACTGCTGGCACCCCAGGCACCAAAAATCCCCGAGCGCTCCCCCAGGCTGAGGGCACCCCAGCTCCCCATGGACCGATGCACGCTTTCCCGCAGGGCCGTTATAACTTGGCTCCGAGCCGGTGGCTCTGGGAGCGCGCCTCTACCCGGGCCCCGGGCTGTAGGGGCTCTGGGTAGAAGGCCCAGGCGACCAGTGGGTTGGGAATTCCAGCGATTGGTGGATTGGTGCGTGGAGGGAGGTGTCGGGGATGTTAAAGGCGGAGATCACCCTCAGGGCGTCGTCCTTGACCAAGTGGCACAAATCCAGCAACTGCAAAACAAGACACATAGGAACTGGTCAGAAATGGGGACAGCTCACAGTCTTCTAGTGCCAGGGGCATGACGCCCACCCAGCCACCCGCAGCCCCAGTGCCTGCAGAAACTAGTTTCCCTTCGAATTCCCTAGGGCTATGGCAGGGAGAGGCTTGGGTTGGTTATGAATAATCTCGGGGAAAGGTCTTAGAAATCTCTAACATAGGCATTTTCCTTCAGGGGGTGGGAGTGGGGGCACAGCCCTAGCTTTACCTAGGAATGCCTGACTTCCTTCTGGGACTCATCAATTTTCCTGGCCTGCCTGTCCCTTCTCCTGGGCTCTTTCCTGCCCACAGAGGCCTGGGGTGCCACCCTCTGGCGCCTGGAGGCAATTGAAGGGGAAGGGCTTGGGAGCAGGTGAGCCCCTAGCTGGGCTGGCTGCTGGCTGCTGGCGACGCCCAGCGGTTCACGAAGTGCCCGCACCATGGAAATGCCGAGGCAAGTGCCAGCCCCTTCCCACACCTGCTACCCAGCTGCAGCCAGGAACCCGGCCTGCCATTAGCAACGTATTCTCACCGCCTTTGGGAGGCTCTGATGAGGCGCCCCTGCAGAAGGGAGGGGCGGTGATTTGGGGGAACTATGCAGAGCGTGTTTTAGTTCCTTTTCCAAGATTTCAGTGCCAATACCCTTTTAAATTGCTATGAAAAAGGAAACCACCAAAAAATAATATCCCCACCCCCACCCCCGCCTAAAGCTGAACAGGGAAGCAAGTTAAGAATGGAGCGACCTGGCTCCCTTTCCGGGAACCTGCTAGACCCGCTGCTACTCCAATGTCTCCCTTTTCCCTCCGCTTGTCAGTCAGCAGTACGCTTCTTTCCCTTGGAAAATGAGAGTCAACTCGACCATTTTTTCTGTTACTTTCGGGGTGTTTTTATTTTTAATATATGGTTTTAGAAGCATCAGCTCCACTGTTACCAGCACGTAAGCGGTCACCTCTGAACTCTACTGATTGCGGTTCAAACCCAGGTGGTGGGCAGGTCCAGCCTGCCCTTCCAGGTCCACAGGTCCCAGAAATGGGGTAAGCCCATGGATGTGAAGAACCCAACTCTAAGCGCCTTCTACAATGTGCTGGATCACACCAATAGTTTCTAATGAAAACCTTCATTCTTCACACCCTGTGGTTAAGCACCATCAAATCAGTACTGAAAAAAGCTTTGATCATATTTGCAAGATGCACGATGATGAACTTTCACTGACCAAGTTAGTAATTAATACTCTTGACACAACTCTCTGACTAATCTGTCAACTCTGAATGCCTTTAACCACCCAGTTCAAAACCACGAGGTGGTGTACACAAACCCTCCACTTCGCACAGATTGTGACATTGCTTTAAAGATCATTGTTCTGTGTGGGTTTACATGATGGAACACAATAAATGTTGCCGTTTGTAAGCAAGGGTGGGGAGGCAGGGTGGGAGAGACGCAATTATATGAACCCTCGTTATGTGAGACGCTCTGGTGGGATCATGGTGAAGCGCTGGGCTGCTAACCACAAGGTCACCAGTCTGAAACCACCAGTTGCCACGGGGGAGAAATTGTGTGACTTTACATTCCATAAAGAGTTACGGTCTCAGAAACCCACACGGGCCATTCTATTCTGTTCTATAGGGACACAGTGAGTCGGCATCAGCCGGGCGGCATTGCATTTTGAGTTCTCGTTACATAATTTGGCAAGTCTGGTGCCAGACTCGGAGCCCCGGTGGCTTAGCCGTTGTGCAATGGGCTGCTAACTGCAAGCTCAGCCATATGAAGCACCGACGACTCATCTCCTTAGCGAGTTACAGTCTCAGAAACTCACAGGCCAGTGGTTCTACACGGTCCTTTAGGGTAACTATGGGTTGGTTTCATGGCAGTGAATTTGTTTTTCCGTGATTGCCAAACAGAGGAACAGGCCACAGGTAAAAGT